CTTGCTAATGACAGGCCGACTATACTAGGCCGGTAGTCGCCTTTTTCGCCATTTTTCGTAACGCTTCAAATATGTTTCGATTTTACGCTGTTAACTAACGGCGAAAAATCGCCTATTTGAAGCACGGACGAAGCGGACGAAATCGGAGGACAAAGCGACTGAAGACAATGTGGCTCTTAGAAGTAGTTTTTTATTCTTTTGAAAATCCCTGCATAACCGTAGGATTTGAATGGCTTTATCCCTGTCAGACTGCTCATAGAATGAATAACGAAGTTGAAAGCTACAATCTAATCATGTTAATGCTTAGTATAGATTATAACGGAAGCTAGCAGACTGGAGTACACGCCGCGTGTGCAGTGCTGCGCGCTAGGAGCATTACGGCAAATTGCGACTGGCATTTCATTTCGAAACTTGAACCAAGTTTAAAGCAGTTGAGCGTGGAACCATCAAGCGGATTGGTAGATGTGGTTGAAAACCTGAAGAGTGTAGAATATTGGATCAAGAGTGGGGGAAAAAAGTAGAAAACATCTAGTAGCTGTTCAATAACGTTTTACTTTGATGGGGAAATTTGTGCAAAGTTGCTAAGATTTATAGTAAGATAACACTTTCGGGATCTACTAAGATTCATGGTAAAATAAAAACTTACGGGGAAATGAAGCAGAAATATATTAAAGCCTCAATTAACCTGATGCTCACCAAGATAAATCAAGATTTTCTTCTAACATCCAAGTTGAATGGAACGAAAATGCTCTGCATGCACATTGAAGGATATATATCTATACATATAATTACAGCATACATAAAATAATTGTGATGAGCATTCTACAGACAGTAAAAAGTGTTGAAGAACTTTAAATATCTCGCAGAAACTAGAAACCAGAATGACGAAATAAGAGAAGATGGACCGGATTGTTATTCGCATACAATAAACCACAAGGCAGGAAAAAAAGTTCAGAAACTAGATTGACTACTCCACGATCGTAGCATTCCCAAAAACAAGATTATGTAGCAACGCTTAATGAATCTGAGAATCTCTTTCCTCAACGACTTTTCAGTTTTTTCCTTTCATTTAAAGATGTTCAG